TCCATAGAGCAGCTTTAAATACATCATCGTTTTAAACTGATTGAGAAAGGCGTATTTTTTTGTGTTTTTGTCTTGAATACTCGGTTCCCGCAAGAGTCGTGTAGTTGGCACCCAATTATCCTTACAAACCTCAAATCTCGGCCCAGACCAAAGCAGGAACAGTTTTGATGGTGTAACTTTCTCTGGCGGCTCTGATTTCCCCGGGAGGTTTGTTCAGGCCATTGTATAAAAGAAAGATTTCCCAAAGAACATGAAAATAGAAAACTTGTAAGATTTCTGCAGCTACATATGTCAAAGCACCCTCGACCCTAAAAGCTTTATGGTGAAGTTAAGGCTCATTATTTTCATTATTAAATACACTATATCTACTACTATACTGGGTTTTACACTTAGGTCCCTTCAAATGTACATTGTTACAGATGGGACGAGACTTAATTGCCACGAGACTAGACAATATGTGTGATTGGGTCCAGTTTGGGGGAAATTACGAGTAAAAATTGCAAATGTGAAAGGTGCATTGTGTAACTTTTCTGGTGAACGGTCAGTGAAACGGTTTTCTCCATGGAGATGTTATTACTTTGTCCAGAATGTTTCACAAAATGGCTATCTATCCTTATGGAGACCAAATCAGAACAAGTTACTGGCCAGATCTGTGGAGAGGCAAATCCGTGTGTGATTCGTTAATTCGTTTTTCAAAATAAAACCAAAAAAATGAAAAAAAAAAAAAAAAAAGAGAGAGAGAGATTTTTTTCATTATTTGTCTCCTAAACCAAAATGAAAAAACGGATAACAATTTGTTTTTTTTTCAGTTTTCACTTTTGTGTTAACGGCCGTTTCTAGTTTCCGTGACTTAAACTGCAATGCCGGACTTTTGCGCCGCATACAGATTGAACCAGGACTAAAACAGGACTAAAAGAGGACTAAACCAGGTCTAAACCAGGTCTAAACCAGGTCTAAACCAGTCTCAGTTCCAGTATCAGTCCTGGTCTGAGTCCTGATCACCTGACAGTCTACGTGGTCGCACCTCCAGGCCCGTCCCAACACTCAGTCCTGGTTTAGACTTGGTTTAGTCCTGGTTTAGTCCTGGTTTAGTCCTGATTCAGTCTGTATGCGGCGCAAAAGTCCAACATTGCAGTTTAAGCCACGGAAACGGGAAACGGCCACTAACCATTTTTCAATTCTTCATTTAAACACAAAATCGAAAACTGAAAAAACTAATTGTTATCCATTTTTTCATTTTAGTTTTGGAGACAAATAATGAAGAAAATAGTTTTTTTTTTTTCGTTTTCTTATTTTTGGTTTTATTTTGAAAAATGAATGAACGAATGATACACGGATTCAGCTCCACTCACAGTCAGAATGCCTGTTTTTCTACATATTTTTGAGCTATAAATCCACCTGTAATTGAATACATGTAAGATAGAGCTGTTTAATTAATGTCATACTGTGGAACAATCCAGGCAGAGCAATGACATATCCATTGGAAAAAGCCGGTAACAGACCTTCACCAGAAAAGTTACATAATGCACCTTGAAGTTCACAATTTTCAAGTATTTTTTGCTGTGATTGTAGCCTTGCTTTATTTAACTACACCTTCTTGAGAGATGTTACTCACCAACGCTAAACCTATTTTCTCCTTGTAAAAGTAAACACATGGAAAAATATATATGTGGCTATAGGGCTGCACAATATATCGGAAAAATATTATTGTAAAATTGGCTGATCTCATTAGCACAACGTTCACCTTTTTACAGAAATTTACTGATTTTGAACATAAACTGGAAAAAAGTCAGATTTTAGTAGTGATTTTTGACATATTTCTTGGGTTGGTCTTGGTTTAGTCTCTGTAAAGTTTGCATTTCAACACAATTTGACTAGTAAATGAAGTTTATTTGTTTTGTTTAATTTACCTGAACCTACTGTGCCAAAAAAGCGGACTAAAATATTGCAATAATGGTGTTAACGCAAATCAAAAACAACAAAAAAGAGCTACTGAACATTGCATCTTCTCAAATTCTCAAATTAAAATATCTCGTGAGCTCTTGTGGCATCGAAATCTTGTCCCATCCTTAACAGTTTCCCCCTCACCTGTTTTCATTCAGAGGGTCCGGACTCTAGATTCCCCATTGTCAAAAGAAAGAAAACAAACCAGAAAATGTCTAAGAGCTGCACAGAATGGACTAGCACCATATTCAGTGATGGATAAAATAGCAGACTGACTGTTAGGTATATTTTAAAGTAAACACATTCACAGATCTTAGTTGTTGAAAAATAAGAAAACTGAAAACAATGAGCCTATAGAATATATAGTATAGTTTTTGAGCTGGTTATTCCTCATGTAGTGGGAAAAACAGTATTTGCACCCCATTAGAGTAGATATAATAATATACAAGTTTTATGTCTGTGTATTTTTATATGAACTGTGGAACTTCCTTTAAAGAAGCACTGCGCAACTTTTCTGCTAGAGGTCCTTCCACCTGCTTGTGTCCATGGTGACGTTATTGTTTGCCTAGATTGGTGCGGCAGTAGATTTATCTGCCACCATGGAGACGAGCAGATGGCGTCATCATGTCAGATCTGTGGAGAGGCAAACCCACACAGTATGCACACATTTTTCAAGTTTTTTTTTTCCATGGTAAAAAAAAAAACTGTTATAAGATATATATACGTGGGGCTGACAAGTTTAAAGCTATACTGTGAAACATTCCAGGCATAAAATAACATCTCCAAGCAGGAAGCAAACACTACAGTAGAAAAGCTACACAGTGATAGTTCAACTTTAATTTTTACTATCCACACTGCAGTGAAGTCATAGTGTTTAGGTGGATACTAGGGGCAAAAATATCAAAATATTGATATATCATATTGTTTAATGTGAGGTTACAGTATCGATATCGTGGGCTGCTGTACAGATATCTCGCCAAGAGTATTTTCTGGTATATTTTACTAAATTATTTTGTTCCAGCGCTACAGTTTTGTTGCTTGTTTAGAGGAAGGAAACTCATTTATGCAACAAATTTGACATTTTCACTGTTTTGATGATTAAAATGGATGTGTTTCTTTTCCACTTTGCACAAGAAGTGGTTTAACAAAGACTTTTAGTATCACAGCCATGATTTAGACATTATTTTTACTGAACCGTATCAAATCGATATGAAATATATTGTATCGAATCAAACATGCACTGTATTCAGATACGTATCGTATTGTGGCCTATGCATCGAGGTATCTATCATATCGCCAACTTCTTAATGATACCCAGCCCTAGTTGTTACTACTTTGGCCTCACAGCAAGCAGGTCTCAAGATTGATTCCTGTAACTATGGAGACAAGACAAAGACGCACCATAGCAACAAGGAAACAGTGACGAACTTGTACACAAATATTTATTGTATACAGTTTTTATCCATCATGTTAAAGGCCCTGTACCTGATTTTTCCCATGTATTTGAGCAAAGTCTGTCTTGATATATTATATAAGCAGCTCTTGAGGTCAAAATAAGTCCACTGCGTGCTGTCTGCATCTGATCAGAACGCTTTTTAATGTGCACTAATCAGAAAGTGCGTGTTAGCATGCCGAGTGTCTAACCGTGACTAATTAGGATTTTAAGAACGTAGAAGGTAAGTGAGGAATAACTATGGATCACTGCAAACTCTTTGAAATGAACTAGCTCTGTTTTTCCATGTTTTTAAGACCGTAAAAATCAGGAACAGCGCCTTTAAGAGGTCTTTTGTAGAAAAATTATAACTACTCCTGGAGGGTGCAAATATGTTTTTCTCAGCACTGTATTTCAGAGACACATACAGTTTGTTTGTACCTCTAAATAAATAGTACAAAAATAATCTTTACTTTCTCATATAGTGTCTTGTTATAATGGCAAAATGTATTATGGGGATTTATGTGCATGTAATGTATCCTATTAACATGAATCATACAGACTTTTGCATCTAATCTTCCACCATAAACTTTTTGACACAAGTTGGAGTGCCTTTTCCCCATTGCACCCTTCAACACTAGGGGGCGTAGTGGCAAGCAACCTGTGAGGATGAAAAATATTAAGGTCGTTCTCCAACTAGTCATCCACTGTACTGTAAAGTTCCAGCTGCATTCATGTATAAAAATTGTCTCCCATAGCATTTCCAGTTATGTCCTATAGGTGAAATGGATTATCAGTGCTTTGTTTGCTCCAAGATGTGCTCTTCTTTACGAGTCCCAAACTGGAAATTCCTTCAGATAACAAACAAAAACTTTCAAGGCCGAAATTCCCTGGCCACGGTCCGATAATTCTACAATTTCAAGGCTGTTTTGCGAAAGAATGAGGTGAGATGTTAGTCGAACGAACCCATGATGTAACCGTTTTTGTCCGATCATGGTTCAAAAGATTCCAAACATCTCCGTACATCCAATTCAACCCTAGAAATTCTAAAAATCTGTCTCCCGAAGTTGTTTCGCGAAAGGATGAAGTCAGATGTTAGCCGAACGAACCCATGATATGACTATTTTTGTCCGCTCAAAACATCTTCATACATCCAATTTAAACCTGGATATTCTACAAGTCCGTCTCCCAAGGTTGTTTTGCGAAAAGTTGAGGTGAGATGTTAGCCAAACGAACCCATGATATTACTATTTGTGTCCATTCATGGTTCAAAGCTTCCAAACATCTCCACACGTCCAATTTAATCCTGGAAATTCTACTAGTCCGACTTCTTCTTCCAAGGTTGTTTTGCAAAAGGATGAGGTGAGATGCAAGCTGAATGAACCCATGATCTAACTATTTTTGTCCAATCATGGTTCAAAGATTCAAAAGATCTCCATACATCCAATTTAAACCTGGAAATTCTACAAGTCCATCTTCCAAGGTTATTTTCTGAAAAGATGAGGTGAGATGTAAGCTAAACAACCCATGATATACCTATTTTTGTCCGATCACGGTTCAAAGATCTCAGAACATCTCCTTGCATCCAACTCACACCTGGAAAGTTATTAAAAATGTTCAAATTTCAGCATTCGGCGTCCACGCTGTGCACGGTCACAGCCGCTTGTAGGTGGTGCGTGTGCGTGTGGAGCGGGTGGTGGTGTGAGTGGGAGTGCCTGTACGGGTGGAACTTGTGGCTGAGTAACGCGGCCGTCTGAGGGGGCGTGTCCAGGTCCAGATCGTCGTCGTGGTTGCCGACGTCGACGCCGGCCGAGAGGGGGTCGTTGTTGCCGGGCGGGTTTTCGCTGTCCTCCTGCGGGCTCATGGTACTGTAGCCTGGAAGATAGAAAAATAGTGTTAATTTACAGGTTTTACAGGAATATCAAGTAATTCTAATGCTGTATTAATGCTGCATTATGTTACATTTCTGTAGGAGGATCTGCCACCTGCTTGAACTGCCTAAAATTTTCCACAGTATGGCATTAAATTTATTAATCTTGCCTTTTTCATGTGTTTTTATTGCTCAGAAATGGCTTGCTTTCTTACTGTAAGCGTGGTTGGTATTTAGAAGTTTAATGCCATACTGTGGAACATTCCAGGCAAAGGTATAACATCATGGAGATTAACCGGTGGCAGACCTCATTACTAGAAAAGTTACAGAATACATATAAAGGTACACTGTGTAACTTTTCAGGTAGAGAGCCTGCCAGTTACAAGCTCCATGGAGATGTTATTTTTGTACATACAATATTCCAAAGTGTTGTATTTTTCGGACTATAAAGTGCACCGGATTATAAGGCGCATTGAGCGAAACAAATGGACGACACTTGAGACTGATCCCTTAGTCCAGGCGTCCACGATCCATTGGCAGATCGTGGTGTAATTCGCCCGGCGTTGCCTCCCTGTCTTGGTGAATGTGGCTTATGAATGTGAATGTGGGTGTATAATTTAAATTTGGATTTTTATTTCCTACAAAGAGGACTACGAGGAATATACATCGAGTAATAAAATGTTTAATGCAGTTTTGCGCACATTTGTTTACATTTTACAGAAACAAAACTTAAAATCACATGGCTCATTTGCATAAACTTTAAAAAAAAACAACTCACTCCTTGTGCTGCTGATGCGGTTCAGCTTCTGTCAGACTAAAAGACACGACTCAGTGGAATATGTGTGTTCTTTATGTGACGAAGGCGACAAGGCGAGGGCAGTAGTGTGCACTGAGTCAATGCCCTTTACTCCGCGAGGCTCCTGACTACGGAAGCAGCAATGTTCCGACAATACATCAAGCGGTGCGGCTTTGTAGCTTACCAAAGTCGTACTAAAACATTTTGACAAATTTTTAAGCGCCGTGTACCACATAAAATTAGTTTGAGGTCAGTAAGCAAAACCATTGATACATAAGGAGCACCAGGTTATAAAGTGCACTGTCGATTTTTGGAGAAAATTCAAGGATTTTAATTGTGCTTTATAGTCTGAAAAATACAGTAAGTAAAAAAAAAATTGCATTAAACTTTTCAGTCTCCATAGAAACAAGCAGGTCCAAGTAAGATGTGTAAAGAGACGACTCCACTCACAGTAAGAATGCATGTTTTTAAAGGTATTTTTGAGCAGTACATCTCCCATAACTGAAAAAATGCATCTTGTAGAAGTTTAATACCATATTGTGGAACATTACAGGCAAAGCAATAGCATCTCCGTGGTAGCAGATACCCTGAAAAGATATGCAGTGCACCTTTAAGTGTTATGCTTCCAGTTAAAAGTAAAATTTTCAGGTAAAGGAAAAAGTAGAGGGAGTAGAATCTTATCATAGTCCATTTAATATAAGGTTCGGCGATGTATTTTTACTCATGTCAGTGACAATTTTTGATTTAATGCTGTATTTTTTCTCATCAAAACCAAATAAAACCCCTTTCAATTTCCATCTCCAGACCAGACCATTACCCGAAGCGACTGAGGGACTGCAATAAGCCAACCCAATATTAGCTAATAGTCATGATGAGATGGTTATTGGAGACAAAGTGAAGATTTGACAAAAACGGTCAGCTCCACCTTAAAACTTAGCATGATTTAAGTGGCGATGGCTCTTCTAAAAAGCACTAAAAAGACTGAGGTCACTGGTCTTTCGGAATAGTAGGTTTTTCTTTTATATTTCCGCTGTCATAAACTTACAATAACTCACCACGGAATAGAGAGCACCTTTTAATAGTACTCGGAACAGCACTTTGGGGAACAATACAGTCTGACAATTTGAGCTGGTATTTTTCAAAGTAAAACATAGATCAAGTTATTACTAAAACCTTCAAAAACATTAACAGGAACATTTGAGGGTTAGCAAAAACAAGTGCGCAATACAAAGTACAATACAAAAGTTAGTATTTATGACACCATACTTTTCCTACTACTCGAGCCATATATTTTGCAGTACTCTGACTTGGGTAAAACTTTTGGTTATTCTTCCCACTGCAAGTAAGTCTACAAGTGACAAAAGCTTTATGTTGACAATATTAAATGATCTGAACATTTGTAATTCTCGCGCCACTTTCTTTGGTCTATTCTTTGAAAGTACCACATTTTATTTTGTATGTATATTATGATTCTGTTTTAATCACATGAACTTAAAGCTGTACCTCTCTCGTTGCTTCGACAGTTATTTTTACAATTATTTGAGTTATAGTTCCCCTCAAACTGTGATACTTTTATTCCTACAGAAAGATGATGAGAAGCGCTGCGTGGGTACATGTAGAGTTCAAATTTGTAGACAGGTGCTCTTTGAAGAGGGAGTTCTTTTTAACTTGAAAATATTTCAGAAGTTCTCCGTACGGCAAAATGTCAGAAATGTGTAGAAAATCAGACAACAACAAAAAAAAAGGCACTCCAACTGTTTAAAAAAAAGTTAAAAAGCCTTTATTGGATCTTGGCTATTAAGGATAAAAAGCAGCCTTCCAACACTTGAACATAGACATGCATGGACAGTTTTATTACTACTTCCTATATTACACGTCCTTCACTTTTGGAAGCTTTAAATCATGTTATAATCTTGTTACCTAATCAAAAACATACCTGGAGATGTGTTTTGTTTCATTCATACAAGTTTGAGCAACCCTTTATTGAAAGTCTGTCTACCAGGGATGTAACAATAACCGAAATATCGTGATATCGTATCGTCAAAAGTCTCACAATAATATCGTGGACTGTCACAATATATCGCATTACCAGTTCCTTTGCTTAAATGCATTGTTTTATAGTAGCAACAGCTTAGAAACATGTGGAACTACATATCCCATGATTCATTTCAATGCAGACAACATGAAGAAATATGTTTTTTACTTGAATTCTTGGGATTATGACGGAAATAATTCACAGCAAAATCTTGTCAAGGAATTTTAAAAGCAAAAAAAAAGTCTCCTATCTACAATTATATCAGCCTCTCCAAAATATCGCAATAAATATTATACCATGAGATGCATATTGTGATAATATTGTACCGAGAGATATCATCACCTAGTGCCTCTGCTCAATTTCATTTCTGTCCAGCCACTAGGTCAGGAATCAGAATAAACTCAGAACCTCGGAAGTTGTAAACCGCGCATCAACCAATCAGCAAAGAGCTGTGAAGCCATGACGGCAAACTCAAGCGCCTGTCTGGGTCTCTTTTGTGGTACAGCACAACAGTAAACAAAGCGGTCGAGATGGATGCAGACCATACAGGCCATGCATTCTGTGTTGGCAATGATTCCCGAGATCGAGGATTTAAAGCCAGAACAAAAAATGGTTGATGAATTTTATCAAGGGGAAAGATGTTACTGCTCTTGTTCCTACGGGATTTGGCGCTTTACATACGTCATGACCAAAGAGTGATTGGTTAAATTAAAAAAGTACCCACCTACCGTCGAGCGAGCGAATCCTAATGCTGCGAGGTCAGACCCTACTGTCTACTTCTCCAAAATTCAAAATGCTGTGCTCTACTTTGTGATGTCAGGAAGCGGTAGTTTTCAGCTACCTTTTACCTTTTGTTAAGTACAGATGGGCAATTCCAGGTTCTGAAACTATCCAAATGATTCTAGTGAATGGAGCTTAAAAACACAGTGGAGCACTTCCCGTATATTCCAGAGTGCTTTCAGTTTGAGAGAAGAACTCGGCCTAAATATGCAGGATATGAATGAAACAAAACAAAACTCTGGGTAAGTTTGTGATGAGGAAAGAGCATTATAACATAGATCAGAAAACAGTGTACAGTAATATGGACTCTAAATATTTTTTTGGGGCCATACATTGTACTTCTAATACATAAGTAGTACTATTTCGAAGTAACAGCGATCTTATTTTAGGAGAATTTTGAGTATTCTACCCACTTCTTCATTCAACAGTCAAAGGAAATACGAAAAGACCATAAAATAAGCTTCTAACCCAAATCTATGACAATATGTGCTTTTGATGGCTCTCTGACAACTAAAGCCTCCCTCTGGGCTTTTTCTGCCTTATGTTTCATGTTTCTTTTATGAAATTTGTCAAAAGAAAGCATACATATTTATATTCAAGCCATCATGCACATATGTTTTGCCTGAGGAGCTAAAATGAAAGGCAGTCGGATACAATCACAAGTGGAGCAGTGAAATGGTTCTGTGGGTCAAAAATTATGCAAATACAAGACTTCAGAGCAAGAAATATGACAGTTCTCAAAGTGTAAAAGATTTATCAGATGAGCCTGTAGTCGGGATGGGTAATGACAAAAATATCTTTATTTTTTATGCAAATTAAATGAGAATTTTGCTAAAACTTGCCTGGAAATGGTTTGGTTCATTGAGAAGTATCAGACAAAACTGATTGGACTCCAAAATTAACCACAACAGAAATCACACTTGTTTGGAATATTATAATATTTTTTCAATTTTCTTTCCAAACATCTCTTTCCGCAGTTTTCTTTTTATGATCATAATATTAAAATTGAATTGAAAACACATTTAAAAGCACTGACCTTTGAGACCAGACATTTTCAGCAAAGGGACCACATACTGAATAATAATTGGATTTGTATAACAACGTTCAAGACATCCAAAGTTCTTTACGATTGCATTTTTCATTCAGTCAATATCAGTAGACTGTATAAAGAAGTGGTCTAATTGAGTATGATGTCACCCACACTGTTCGCCCCAGTCAAATGAAGCTCATCGAAGCTGGAAGATATAGGGGATGAATTCCATATTTGGAATTCTGACTGCGAGTATCATAGCAACCAAAGAGAGAATTCGGAGTGAGGCTGTTGAAGGTAATGCCCCTATCTGACCGGTGTGATCTCGGTGAAAGTAGGAATGCCAGCTGGAGCATCCCCCTGG